GCACTATTATAAGAAAAGGATTTTTTTCATGCGACTAAGAAAAAACTGGCTTTTTTGTCCAGAAGTGACGCATTTAAAATTAAAAAAAAAAAAAAGAATCGTCTATCCTGCCGGAGAGATGCAAGCAATCTTATAAGAAAGGATTTTTTTCATGCGAATAAAAGAAGTTATTTTTTGTCCAGAAATGACGCATTTGTAGGAAAAGGGGAAAGAGGGAAAGGAAAAAGGAAAACGAATGCATCCATCCTGATATCGGGTTTAAGAACCGCCGAGAACGAATCTGGTCACCCTGGCTGGCACAGGACACTTACTCAGTTATGAACTTGTCCCCTTTCTCGCACAGATCCACGACACGCACTCCCGGCTTGCATTCCGACACAACAGATGCCAATGCCTCTGCGAAACGACAACAGGAGAGTAGAAACAACAGCATAGAAGAGATAAGAGAGAGAGAGAGAAGAGAAGAAAGAGAGAGAGAGGAGAAAGCAACAAAGACAGGGAAAGAAGAAAACGCAAACATTAGAGCGTGAGGCATAAGAATGAAGAGGATAGAAGAGACAAAGAGAAAGGAGAGAGAGAGGGTATCAGAAAACAAGGAATGGATAAGGAGAAAAGATATGTGGAGGATGGGATGGGAAAGCAGACAGAGTGTTCGAGACAAGGCGGGAGACAAGAAAAGATGAGAGCAGAACGCGAGAGAGGAGAGAGAACGAGGAGATGGGAGAACAGAAGCCCGATGAATGAAAGAGAAGATGGAAAGGACGAGATAACGATGGGAAGCAGAGAACATTATGGGAGGGGAGAAAAGACATGAAGGGAGAAGAAGGCAAGTGCCGAGAGAAGACAGGCGGGGTTCAATTTTTTGATAGAACAGAAGATGTGGAGAAGAGGAGAGAGAGAGGGTAGGGACAGTAGTAGAGGTCAGGGAAGGAGGGGGTGGACGAAGAGTGGGATTTAAAAAAAGACGGTAGAAGAGGAGAAGGTGGGAGAGAAGAAAGAACGAGATTCGAGCGTAGGAGATGAGGATAGCAGAGTAGGGTAGGACAGAAGAGGGTAGGAGAGAAGTGAGGAGACAAAGACGCCAATCCTTGATTGCCTTGCAAACCCTAAATTATTAAATATTATTATTGAGCAATAACATCAAAACCTAATTCAAAAAAAAAAAAAAAAAACTGATCAAAGCGATAAACAACAACGATTGTCTCATTGCAAGAACGAATGGTCATCCTCTCATTCTTCTTCCAATATGCCTCATTCGATTTTTTCCCGCACACTGGACCGCATTTTTGCAGTGCATTTGTTTCGTTTTTTTTTGTCCTTTTCTTCATTTCACACTTGTCTCCGAAATAAAAAGTCCTGTGCAAAAATGAAGAAAAGGACCCAAAAAAAAGGACCAAAAAAAATTTACAAAGGTCCTTGATAACCGATAACGGACATCCGTTATCATTGGAACGATACAAAGAATTTGAGGATCATGGCCCCTGCGCAAGGATGGCACGCATAAATGAAGAAACGGTTCAAAAAAAA